CGCGCTGGCGTTGCCCAGGAGCCCCTGGAGATCCCGGAGCCGGGAGCGCTGCAGGCGGACGTCGTAGGAGAAGCTGCGGTTCATGGAATCCACGGCTCCTGCCAGCGCCGTCACCTGCTCGCCCAGGAGTTCCAGGCGCCCGCCCAGGTGGCCCAGGAGGTGCTGGTGGTGCTCCAGGAGCAGCCGGCTGCCGTTGGCGTCCACGGAGAGCCGGGACAGCTCCAGCTGGGCCGCATCGCTCTGCCGGAGCAGGGAATCATGGAGCCGGGCCACGGAGCGATCCGTCTGTCCGGCCTGGTCCCGCAGGCCGTGCAGGAACCCCTCCAGCCGCCGCAGAGAGTCCGAGTGGTTCTGCAGGAGCTCCTGGAGGCTCCAGACGTGCTCCAGGAGTTCTCCTCCCGTGGGAACGGGGAGCAGCAGCCGCAGCCGCAGGTCCCGGAAGGTCTCGTTGAGCCGCTGGACGTCACCCAGCAGAGCCTGCAGATCCTCGGGAGACGCGCAGGGTCGGGATGCTGGGATGGATGGATGATGGATGGATGGATGATGGATGGATGGATGGATGATGGATGGATGGATGATGGATGGATGGATGGATGGATGGATGGATGGATGATGGATGGATGGATGGATGGATGATGGATGGATGGATGATGGATGGATGATGGATGGATGGATGATAGACGGATGGATGATGGATGGATGATGGATGATGGATGGATGGATGGATGATGGATGATGGATGGATGATGGATGGATGGATGATGGATGGATGGATGATGGATGGATGATGGATGGATGGATGATGGATGGATGATGGATGATGGATGGATGATGGATGGATGATGGATGGATGGATGATGGATGGATGATGGACGGACGGACAGACGGACGGACGGATGGACGGATGGATGGATAGATGATGGATGGATGGATGATGGATGGATGATGGATGATGGATGGATGGATGATAGACGGATGGATGATGGATGGATGGATGATGGATGGATGGATGATGGATGGATGGATGATGGATGGATGGATGGATGGATGGAGGAGAGCGGTGGGAGGTCAGGAGGAGCTCTGGGATGTGGGATCCTGCCCCCCTCCCAGGGAATTCCCAGCTCCTCAAAGCCCAGAGGAGAAATTCCTGGCCCAAATTTTCCACTCCCAGGAGCTGAGGATGGAGAAGGGCGGGAGGATCCTGGAGTGCTCCAGGTGGGAAGGAAAAGCTCATCCCATTGGATAGGGACACTTCCCCTGATCCCAGGCTGCTCCAGCCTTTCCTTGGGCATTCCCTGGGATTCTCTGGGAATTCCTCCCCAAGCTCCCAGCTCCCCTTTCCCAGTGGGAAGCCATTCCCTGGCTCCTGGCCCTGCGGCCCTTTCCCAAATCCCAGCTCTCCCGGAGCCCCTGGAGCCTCGGGAAGCAGCTCCCAGGATTCCCTGGAGCTCAGGGTTTTCCTTGGAGCTTCATCCCACAGGATTTTCCTGCTAGGGAGGCAGAATTCAAGCCTGGAGCCATCCCAGCAGCTCCCGAGGATCCTGGAATGCTTCAGGTGGGAAGGGACCTTGGATCCCATCCCATTCCTGACCCCTCCCCTATCCCTGGCTGCTCCAAGCCCTGTCCAAGCTGGAATCCGGTCCCTCCAGGCATCTTTACAATCCCACAAATCCCAGAGTTTATCCGGAATTCCGGCTGGGATTCTTCTCCTGGGCCAGGCTGAGGTTTGGTTCCCTCTGCTCATCCCAGCTGGGCCCTGGGAGGGATCTGAGGGATTGGGATTGGGACTGGGATTGGGATTGGGATTGGGACTGGGATGGGGATGGGGATTGGGATTGGGATTGGGACTGGGATTGGGACTGGGATTGGGACTGGGATTGGGATTGGGACTGGGATTGGGATTGGGATTGGGATTGGGACTGGGATTGGGATTGGCACTGGGACTGGGATTGGGATTGGGATTGGGATTGGGACTGGGACTGGGATTGGGATTGGGATTGGGATTGGGACTGGGACTGGGATTGGGATTGGGATTGGGATTGGGATTGGGATTGGGATTGGGATTGATCCGGTGGGACAGATCCCACGGGAAGGATGGAGAAGTCCAGGGAAAGCCATTCCTTGAGGAGAAGCATGGGGATATTCGGATAAAACGTGGGGATATTTGGGATTTTGCTGTTATTTGGGAATAACAAGAGGGAACAGAGTTTTGCCAGGGGAAGTTCAGGCTGGAATTAGGAACAATTCCCTCATGGAAAAGGCGCCTCAGGGGTGGAATTCCCGTTCCTGTAGGGGTTAAATCCGTGTGGATGCGGCACTTGGGAACCTGGATCAGGGGAATGGTTGGTCTCCAGGAGATACAAGGAGTTTTCCGACCCCAACGATCCCACAATTCCATGAAAAGGTTGGAGATCAGTCCCAGCCACAGGCTCAGAGGATTTTCAGTGGATTGTGGGGAGCAGGGATTTAGGGAATGTGAATTCCCAGGGGCCCGAGTTCCATGCAGAAAACTCCGGCTCCAGGGAGGAAAATCCCCCTTTCCCGCCGCTCCCAGGCCTTTCCTTGGATTTTTGACACTTTTCCCAGCCTCTTTTCCAAGGAAGGTCCCGTGGCCCAGCTGGATCCCAAAGAATTCCCGGCCAAACCCTCTCCAGAACATTCCAGGACAGGTCGGACGGGGCTCGGAGCAAGCCGGGAGAGCGGGAAGCGTCCCATGGAATTGGAGACCCTTCCGTGTCCCTTCCCAGCAGAATCATTCCGTGATTCCCCTTCCCCTCGGACAGAGGAAATTCCCAGCTCCGTGTTTGTCTCCAGGAGCCCAGGAAGGGATTTTCCATGGGAAATCCAAGCCCTCCGGCACCGAGGGTGTCCCTGAACATTCCCAGTTTTCCAAGGAAGTTGAGGCTGTCTCTCCCTGCGCTTCCCAGCTGGATGTGATCCCGTTATCCCACGCCGTCCCCTGCCCGTGGTTTTCCAGCTGGGATTGACCCAGCTCAGAATTCCAGGACTCGGCTGCATCCAAATCCAGAGGCTTGGCTTAAAATTCCAAACCTCTGGAAAGCCGCAGCCATGGAGACGATTCCCTGATTTCCCTCTCCCCTTCGCTTCCCCTTTCCAAGATTCCGGGTGACAAACCCCGGGGGGCGAAGCCGTTTTCCTGGGCTTTTCCTGGAATCCCGCCAGTCCCGCTGCTCCGGGAGGTGGGAATTGAAGGATTCCCGGTGCCGGAGGTTGTTGTTGTCGTTATTCCTGGAGCTCATCCCGAATCCCTCGCTCCGGGATCCGCCGGCCAACAACAACATCCAAACAATTCGCGGCTGGGTATCACTGGGAGCTGCCTCGGAATTCCGGGAAAATTTTCCTCCGGCCTTTCCCAGCTCTTGGAGAGCAGCCGGGGGGATTTGGGGATGGGAAAGGGAGGAGTTCACATCCCTTCCCACCACGGATAACGGGACAAACTCCGGGAAGGAGGGGTGGGAACAGGAAGCTGGTCCATGTCTTCTACCTGTCCGGGATGATCCTGGGATTTGGGATTCAACCGGGAATTCACAAATTTCTGCCAGGAGGACGAGGGGGAAACAAGCCTGAGGCAGTAGGATCCCGTGGAATGAGTGTGCCGGGATGAGCCGGGGCATTCCCGAGGGGAATTCTGGGCATTCCCAAGGGGCTTTGCCATCCCTGCACTCACCAAAATTTGGGAAAGGGGAGGCAGAAGCCTTGGGACATGGTGCCGGGATAACACCCTGCCCGCATCCCATCGTCCTTATCCCAGGAAATCCCGGCTGGGCACAAGCGATGGGAACAATTCCAGCTCTGGGCAGGCGCTTCCAGAACCCCTCCGGAGCCTCGGCATTCCCAGCGTTCCATCCTCAACCCCTGTGGCAATTCCAGCCTCTCCGAGATCCCAATCCCAGCCGCTCCCGGTGCTCCGTGCACAGTCGGAAGGATCCCACAGATCCCAGAAGAGATCCCAAGGATCCCAGCCTAGATCCCACGGATCCCAGCAGAGATCCCAACAATTCCAGCCGGAAGGATCCCACGGATCCCAGCAGAGATCCCAAGGATCCCAGCAGAGATCCCAGCAATTCCAGCTGGGAGGATCCCACGTATCTTAGCCTAGATCCCAAGGATTCCAACTTGGATGCCAAGGATCCCAGCAGAGATCCCACAGATCCCAGCAGAGATCCCAGCAATCCCAGCAGAGATCCCAAGGATCCCAATCTACATCCCAAATATCTCAACCTAGATCCCCACCTAGGTCCCAGCCTATATCCCAAGGAGCTCCTCGGAATTCTGCCGGATCCCAACTTTCCCTCCCCTGGAGGGTCTGGAAAACCCTTCCGGGCAGGAATTCCGAGGAATTCCGTGGATGCTCCTGGCCCTGGGAGGATCCCGGGCCCGGCCTCACCTGCCAGGACGAAGATTCCCACCAGGATGAGGAGGACCAGGAGGTAAAGGCCCAGCACGGAATATTTCAGCGCCGCCGCCGAGCCCAGCCGGCCGCAGCATCCCGAGCTCTTCGCCTTCCGGCCGGGATCTGCGGGATAGAGCGGGAAGGGGCTCAGCGGATCCCTGGGAATGCCGTGGGAATGGTTGGGATCGGCCTGGCCGGGTGGGGAGGCACGAGGGGCTCCGGCCTTGGGAGCGTCCGAGGAAAAGTTGGATGGGGTTGGAGCAGCCTGGGATAGGGGAGGGGTCAGGAATGGGATGGGATCCAAGGTCCCTTCCCACCTGAAGCATTCCAGGATCCTCGGGAGCTGCTGGGATGGCTCCAGGCTTGAATTCTGCTTCCCTGGCAGGCAAATCCCACGGGATGCAGCTCCAAGGAAAACCCTGAGCTCCAGGGAATCCTGGGAGCCGCTTCCCAAGGCTCCAGGGGCTGCGGGAGAGCTGGGATTTGGGAAAGGGCCGCAGGGCCAGGAGCCAGCGAATGGCTTCCCACTGGGAAAGGGGAGCTGGGAGCTCGGGAAGGAATTCCCAGAGAATCCCTGGGAGCGTCCAAGGAAAGGCCGGATCACCCTGGGATTGGTGGGAGGTATTGGGGATTCTGGGATCGAGGACGCTCAGGATCCACAGGATCCATCCCGAGGGATTTTTATGGGATTCTGGGATGGAAAACGGAAGGGAGACCCTTCCTGGAGTCCCCAGATTTCCAGGGAATTCCTGAAATTCCTTCTCCAGGAGGAGTTGGGATGGGGCTGGATCCAATCCCGGGGCTGGGAGAGCCGGGAATGTGCAGCCGGATCAGGGAAGGATCCCGGGAATCCTGGGAGCCGCTTCCCGAGGCTCCAGGGGCTGCGGGAGAGCTGGGATTTGGGAAAGGGCCGCAGGGCCAGGAGCCAGGGAATGGCTTCCCACTGGGAAAGGGGAGCTGGGAGCTTGGGGAGGAATTCCCAGAGAATCCCTGGGAACCTCCAAGGAAAGACTGGGATGGGCTCGGAGCAGCAGGAGCAGCGGATTTCTGGGAGCAGCTTTTCCCAGCATTCCAGAGCCTCCCGGATTCCCCAAATCTGAGTTTCCCCCAGAAGACACCGGCAGAAGGAGGGGGAGAAGCCCAGAATTCCCAGCTGGATCTGTGGGTTCCTCCTTCCCGGTGTTTTGTGCTCCTTGGAGCTCCAGGGCTCCGATCCCACGGGAGAGGGAGAACCTCAAATCCAAACCCCCGGTGGAGACAGCGCTGATCCATGGCCGGATCCATGGAGCATTCCAGCCGGGATTTGGGATCTCATCCCATGACAATTCCCAGCTCCAGCTTCAGTCATTCCAGCCGGGATTTGGGATCTCATCCCACGCCAATTCCCAGCTCCAGCCTGGATCATTCCAGCTGGGATTTGGGATCTCATCCCACGCCAATTCCCAGCTCCAGCCTGGATCATTCCAGCCGGGATTTGGGATCCCATCCCATGGCAATTCCCAGCTCCAGCCTGGCCCATTCCAGCCGGGATTTGGGATCTCATCCCACGCCAATTCCCAGCTCCAGCCTGGATCATTCCAGCTGGGATTTGTGATCTCATCCCAGGGCAATTTCCAGCTCCAGCTTCAGCCATTCCAGCCGGGATTTGGGATCCCATCCCATGACAATTCCAAGCTCCAGCCTGGCCCATTCCAGCCGGGATTTGTGATCTCATCCCAGGGCAATTCCCAGCTCCAGCCTGGATCAATCCAACTGGGATTTGGGATCTCATCCCACGCCAATTCCAAGCTCCAGCCTGGATCACTCCAGACGGGATTTGGGATCTTTTTCCAGGGCAATTCCCAGCTCCAGCCTGGCCCATCCCAGTGGGATGGAGCCGCTCCTTGGAATTCCGCCCTGGAACGCATGGATCGGGGGATCCCGGCATTCCCATCCCTGTCCTTCCCAAGCTCCATCCCAGGAAAAGAGGGGTGCTTGGAAAAGCCTCCAGCCGGGAAAGGCTCACGGTGGGCGCATCCCGAAACTCCCGAACCTTTGGAGCTGGGAATGCGCTCCGGGATCGAGGGGAGCGATCCCGAGGGAATCCGGGAAGCTCCGCCGGGATCTCCTCCCCCTCTTCCCACGCCAGAATTCCCGGAGCCATTCCCGGGATGAGGAGAGCGCCGATGTTTTCCCGACTTTCCGCCCTTCCCGCGGCTCCCGATCCAGCCGCTCCCATTCCCGGCCCCTGGAAGCGCGGCCGGGAGGGTTTGTCCATGGAAAGGGCCGGGATCCAAGGAAAAGCGAGCATTCCCTGCCCAGGCTCCGGGGATCCGGGATTTGGAGTCCCCGAATCCCTGGAAAAGGGCCGGGAACGCCGATCCCTGGCGAGCGGAAGGTTTGGATCCCTCTCCCGGTGGATCCTCGGCTCTCCCGGCGGGAATTTCCCAGGAATTCGGGCGGGATCCGGGTGCTCCCGTGCTCAGGGATGGCTTCGCTCCCGCCCCTTCCCAGAAATCCCGCTCCAGAGGCTTCTCCCGTGGGAATGGCGCTCCCGGGAGGGTCAGCCCCGCCTTGGGACCAGCCCTGAGAATTCCAGGCGGAATTCCATAAAATTCCCAAAGCCAGTTCCTCCAGCCTTTCCCAGGGACAGGGATTTGCTGGGAATTCTGGGATCGGTCCTGGACTCTTCCCTCCCGGCTTTTCCAGCTGTTTGCCGGAGGGAAAGGCTGGGAAGAGCAGGGATATCAACATTTGGGAACGGGATACACACCCAGGGGTCTCCTGGATGGGAAATTCCCGCCCTCTGGATCCAAAGGTGTCCCTACAGCCACAGAATTCCCCTTAGGTTCACCTCCCTGAGCCCTTCGTGACATTCCCAGAAGGAATTTAT